CGATCGCTGTCTATTGCTGCACGGCCATCCTCAATTGCGGCTCGATATTCCTTCATTCTTTTCAGAAGAGCCTCAACGGCGTGTACAATGCGATTAAATTCTTCCGTAGCGCGTGAAGCGTCTGCTTGCATGGCTGCATTGACACGACTCCGTTGCTCGGCGAGACGTTCCTCTTTGACATGCTGCTCACGCAGAAGCGCCATATGCTTCTCATGAAACCATCGCTGTTTTTCCAACATGTCGTGATGGTTCTCCTCCACAGCCTTCAGACGCTCCAAGTGCAGTTGATGGCGAAGTGCTCGCTGCTCCTCGTGCTCGGCGGTGCGGCGGCTCATGGCTGCGTCTAATTCACGCTTTAAAATTTCCTGGTGCTGCGACGCCCACGCTTCGCGCGATTCCGTGTACATCTCCTCCATGCTTAACTCCTCACGCTGGAGCCGGTCAAGATCGTCATGCACCATTGATTGCATGTCTAATATCAACTGCTCGTCCATCTTGAGGACATGTTCCCGCTCCTCCTCCTCTGCCTTGCGCCAAAATTCAAGCAACTCCTGAAATATTTTCTGGCAGTCCTCACGCTCCCGTTGCGCCTCGCTCCCGGTCGTGACGGCAAAAGAGGAACGCACTTCATGTCGCACAAGACGTTGTATCTCGTCTTCCCAACTTTCCATCGTTGAACTCTCGGCTGCAAACAAGTCATTCACGCGCTGCAAAATAGTGGCAAGCGCACTACCAACACATTTGTGCAGAAGATCCTTCACGGTCTCTCCTACACCCAATTCTGCCTTCAGTTTGGCCTCCTGCTGCTGCAGCCCTTCCAGCTGGGAACGTAGGGCCACGATCTGCGGCTCGTATTGTTCACGAACGGCACTCGCAACTTTAATGCGCTCTTCCTTCAGTTGTTGCTTCTGCGCGTCTTCTGCCTCACGAACTTCACGTTCCGCTGACACCTTTACATCTTCCATAGCGTCCTTATGTTGGCGAAGCTTGACGTCAAGTTGTGCAATCTCTGCGAGTTTTTGCGCCCTCAGCGCACGCCACTTCTCCCTCAGAGAATTTTCCTTTTCCTTCGCCGCAGTGAGCACTTTTTTCTTTGCCTCGAGCTCCTGACGCAGGGATTCAAGCATCTCCTCCGTTACTCCCGTCTCTCGTTTTGGTGGCGGCATCGTTTTCCGCGTCAACTGCTCCGGCACCATGAGGGGTTCTTGTGCCGGCGGTTGTGTCGGCGGCGGGGCCAACGCTGCAGAGCCGTGCTGCCGCTGCACCGCTTGTCTCCGCGCCGCTAGCATGGCGTCCTCCCCACCTCTACGGCCTGCGGTTCTCCGCGCGAGCAAGTCGGGTGGATTTCGCCACTCATCATCGCTGGAACTCATTGACAACTCCCTTCGTCACCCTCCACGCAAACAAGCAGAAAAGAAAACAAACAGATATATATATGTTTAGGTACATATATTTATAGTTTTTCCTCCTTTTTCCTTCTAATTGCGTCCTTCTTTCTTTTGGTCTTCTCCCTCTCTCTCTCTCGTTCTCCACTCCCCACCAAGTGGCACACACTCCTGTTTCTTGCCCTCCTTTACGGCCACGTACTCTGTATCCTCAGAAACAGAGAGCCATAGAACAGCAGTGGGAGAGCGGGTGGCCGGCTCCCAAATCAGTGAATCAGCTGGAGATCAGTGCCTTCGCACATGTCTACACGTGCGGTGGCGAAAAAAATGCATATCACACTGATTAAAAATAAAAAGAGAGAAAAAAAAAAATATGTATTTTACTTCTATGCTTTTATTATCATCTGCCTCGGTACGTTACAATCAACAATGAAGCCATTCTCTCCAGGCCACGCCCTCTAACCCCACCTCAGAAGTTGGCAAGCGCAAAAACGTGTCTCTTCTGCGTTAACGCTTCCTTCACCAACTGAAAGGCACCCAAAATACCACTTATGCATGTCGTTTCCTTCGCACCACCTGCAGCATAATACTCTACGTCTGCTAACTTCATAAGCAAGAAACACTTGCTCTCCTGCGGCAAATCCATAGCCATCACAATGTGATGCACTTCACGTACCAAGTCGGTTGAAGAGACACCCTTTTCGGAGACAGTTTGCTGCACCTTCTCCCACGAAGCAGCAAAATCATGTGCAATCATGTCCTCTACAATCCCGCGCACATCGGCTGGGGTGGGGTTACCAGTGACACGGTACACAGACTCCTCTGTGATTTCACCTGCCGACATAGCAGAAGCTTGCATCGTGTTAAGACACCGACGCAGGTCACCATTGCTAAGACGAAACGCTGCTACAAGTCCCTCGTCTGTAAAACGCACACCCTCTTCCTGTGCCACAAACTTTAATCGTGGTAACATCGCGCTCTTCTTGACAGGTGCAAACCGAAAACGAGTACAACGCGACTGCAAGGCGGGAATAATCTTGTTGATGTGATTGCACAAAATACAAAAGCGAACGTTTTTGGTATATTTTTCAATGATGCGTCGCAACGCGGCCTGCGCGTCGCCGGACATCTGGTCCGCCTCATCGAGAATAACCAGCTTGAATGCAGCGATGGTGGGCGCAGCGGGGGCAGAGGCAAAGTAGAAAGAACTCGTGCTGGAAAACTCACGCACTTGTTGTCGGACAACATCAATACCACGATCATCTGAGGCATTCATTTCAAGAACATTCGCTCGGATGCGGTCTTTCCCAAAGAGATAGTAAGCGCACGCCTTAATGGTCGTCGTCTTTCCCGTGCCGGGTGGGCCGTAGAATAGAAGATGCGGCAAATTGCCGCTGTCCATAAGCCGCCTTGTTGTGGAAAGAATGTCCTCATGCGCCACAACTTCGTCAAGTGTGACAGGACGGTACTTTTCAACCCACGGCAAGGTACTGGATTTCGCTGCGTGCCCAGTGGAATTCCTTCCCTCGTTTGTCATTTCTGCGCCGTTGTTCAAACCTCTTTTCTCGATTTCCACCCTCGGTGTAATAAATTCCCCCGAGCCTCGCTGTCACCTTTTGCTCCGGCCTCTTATGTATTGTATGTGTGTACCAACTGAGTGTAGGCTTCAGTGGATATCAATGAGACCAGACCTATACCACCCTCTGGCGTCCCTCTATTATAAACCGGGCAAGAATCCAACACAAAACCGCAAAAGAAAGAGGCTGAATCAAGAGAGTTCTCAGCGTGTAGGCCAGGACAAAGCAGATCAGCAAAAAAAAAAAAAAAAAGAAAAAAGATGAGGTACTTTGAACTTAATTCCCCTCTCCCACTAAATTGAGGGTATTTCATAAAGATTAAAAACGTCCTTTTTTTTTTTTTCATTATTATTTCAGGCTGTTTTTTCACATCCAAAAACACGAAAGAATTGGGGTATTGGCTGGAGGGATGCATGAGTCATGGGAGGGTGCGGTGGTGATAAGAACGCAGTCACTCCTCTTTTCTTTGCCGCTGGTTTTAATCCTTCTTTGCTTCTTTTTCTTTTTGTTTTTTTTCCCTTCGTTCACATCCGTGTATTCAATGCGACGTCGCGTTCCCGCCACCCTCACGCCTCTTCATTCTTTGATTCCGCCCAATAAATTTGTCGCCATCTTGTCCTCTTGTCACCCCCCACATTCCACCACCACGCTGCCCTCTGGGTACACGTGCAGGGCATAGCACCCAGTGGTTGAAATCAAACAGCGAGGAAGAGACATCGAAGAAAAATTCATTCGCACTGCTCCTCCTCCGCGTCCAACTTCTCAAGGTCTGGTGGCAGGGGACCCAACGAGGCAAACTCGTGGGTGAGGGAAACCAACTGACTGGTTTTCGTCGCGTCCTGACGATCAATAGGACCATCGCCTACGAGGTCGCAGATAGAATTCACAACGTCGTACTGCTTCTTGTATCTCGCCAGGTCATTCACGCTAGTGCTGCTCTCGTTGGCGGCCAACCAACGGGGATACGTCCGTTGCATTACCTTCATTATCTTCAGCATCCCTGGGTCGAGCAAACAGTCCAAAACCATTCCTGACAGGCCAGCAATTACATCTTCAAACTCGACAGCATTTGCGGTACCAGTCGTTGCCTCTGTGGATGATGTGTTTCTCGGTATCTCCGAAGCTGCCGCATTGCCGGCACTACTTCCACTTGTCTTTTCAATATCTGCCATGTACTTCTTAAACGCCTCCGCCAGGGTCTCATCGCTTTTCATGGCATTGTCATCTGCTGCATCGTCCTCATTCGTTGATGACATTTTTGTAAGCCTGTCAAAAATCTCTCGCACCTCCGTCATACTAGCACGTTCTTCTTCGGATGCGTCCGGCAAACTGTCAATTAAGGATGACACACGTGTTATCTCCTCATTTAACGTATTCATCAGCGTCTCAGGATCCGCGTTACCGTCACCGTTCTCACCATTCATAAGTGCCTGCAGAAGACCCATCAATTCACCGCTCTGATTAGAGTCCGCAGTGCCCTTCTCCAGCTCCGCCTCACGGGCCGCATCACGCGCCTTCACTTCCTCCTCGTGGCGACGCTCCTGCTCGTCCATTGTGTTAATGCAGTCATCCAGAAGGGCGTCCAATTCGTCATCATCGTGCGGATTTCTCATTTAAAAGTCCTTCTACCGGACTTCTTTTCAATCTTCTCTCCCCCCTCTTTTTTCTTGCTGCTGGATGACCGCCGTTCCCCTACAAATGAATATGTGTATATGCGTATTTCACCCTGTGTGTCGCAAGACCCCAGTTCTTCGTGTCAAGTAAAGGCGCACGCAGCAACACGCACTCTCCCGCCCTATCAGGAGGTAAAAAAGGAGGAGAAACCAAACAAAAGACGCGAAATGGTTAAATACAAACGACAAAGTCTTCATCCCTTCCTCTCTGCGGTAAATAAATAAAAAAAAAACACCATCACACTGCACTGCAAACACGCACGTTTATAAAAACAAAATTTACACCCGTTTACAAAAAAAAAAAAAAAAAAAAAAAAAAAAAAAAAAAAAAGGGTGAAGGAGAAAGAAAAACACAACAACAACAACACGAACGAGGACACCGTCAAATAAAACACGGCACCGTCATTTCCTGCGTTTCTTCTGCCTCTTTTGCAGAGAAGAAAAATTGCATTGCCGAGCCTTTTCGCCCTCCCCGTGAGGTGTCTTCGGACTACTCTCCTTCTTTGCCTTCTTGAGTGCCTGTCGCACCTCACGCGGGCTTGCCCTGGAAAAAACCTTTGCTGCAATCTGCCTTCGCGCCTCTTCTGCCCGTGCCATCACTATCGCCTCGTCTTCCGCCGCTTCCACCCTCCGCACCGCCTGTTGCTGCTCCACCTCCCGCTCATGAGCTTGACGGTTGCGCTTGCGCCGCGAAAAATCACCCGCCGCTTCCTCTGCAAATGCACTGAAAAAGCCACCATCGTCCTCTGCCCACTCCTCGACATTCGCGGGTGCTGTCGCACTCTCTCCGGCCATTGAGAGACGTAAAATAAATGCCAAATCCAATTTTCTTGTCCAACACCCACAGATCTTCCAACTACTCTCCGCGGGAAACACCAAAAAAGAAGACCCATTTAGACCAGAACCACAGTACCCAATGTAATTTAATCAAAAGCCGCAGCACACATAAAAAAACAAGCAAAGAAAAAAAACCAGAAAAGAAGAAACAATCAATCAACCAGGAAAAGAAAGTAGCTAGGCAAGATCGCAACGTCTGTACAGACTACACGGGGGCACGTCTACTGCTCCGTAACCTTCGTTGTGAGGTTCTTGAAGGAGGCGACGGGAACATTGGAGATGACGGTGTAGAAATGCTTGCGCTTGCCTCCCTCAAGAGTCTCGGACTTGCGCTCCACGTGCACGCGGACACGGCCCGGAACACCCTTCACACCCTTGTGCCAGACGTACGTGTTCAGAGAGGCGTCGATGCGGTTGTCCTTCGTCTTCATCAGCCGGGCAACAAAGGCCTTGATACGCTTGATGGCAATGGGGGCACGCTTGTGGAACGTCTTCCTCTTGAGCAGCTTCGACAGGTGGATGGTCGCCTCCATGGTGATGTTGTCAGGCTTGCGGCCAGTGCGTTTCCGAAGCGCGGCACGGGTGATGCCACGCACGCGCGAGTGCTCGGCGGTGTTGCCAACGCCGTGGTACTTCTTGCGCTTCTCCGAGTCCATCTTCGCCAGCACACGCTTCCAGCGGCGGTCATCACGCGCCTTGCGGGAGGCAACAGCCTTCTTGCGAGCATCCAGCAGCGCCTGCTTGCGCTCCTTCCCGAGCAGCTTACCCTTGAATCCAGCACGTGTCATTTCACTCCACAACAGACACTGTGTTATTAGCAAACAGATAAAAAACACAACAACAGTAAAATACGAAAAAATAATAATGAAGAGAAATATCAATGGGTAGGCAAGAAATGGGTTACAGAGCTGGATATGGCGTGTCAACGTGGAGTTGTCACCATATCCTCTCTTAAGTGGTTTGCACCTCACTCTTCACGAATAAAGCGTGCAAGCAAAGAAAAAAAACCAGAAAAGAAGAAACAATCAATCAACCAGGAAAAGAAAGTAGCTAGGCAAGATCGCAACGTCTGTACAGACTACACGGGGGCACGTCTACTGCTCCGTAACCTTCGTTGTGAGGTTCTTGAAGGAGGCGACGGGAACATTGGAGATGACGGTGTAGAAATGCTTGCGCTTGCCTCCCTCAAGAGTCTCGGACTTGCGCTCCACGTGCACGCGGACACGGCCCGGAACACCCTTCACACCCTTGTGCCAGACGTACGTGTTCAGAGAGGCGTCGATGCGGTTGTCCTTCGTCTTCATCAGCCGGGCAACAAAGGCCTTGATACGCTTGATGGCAATGGGGGCACGCTTGTGGAACGTCTTCCTCTTGAGCAGCTTCGACAGGTGGATGGTCGCCTCCATGGTGATGTTGTCAGGCTTGCGGCCAGTGCGCTTCCGAAGCGCGGCACGGGTGATGCCACGCACGCGCGAGTGCTCGGCGGTGTTGCCAACGCCGTGGTACTTCTTTCGCTTCTCCGAGTCCATCTTCGCCAGCACACGCTTCCAGCGGCGGTCATCACGCGCCTTGCGGGAGGCAACAGCCTTCTTGCGGGCATCCAGCAGCGCCTGCTTGCGCTCCTTCCCGAGCAGCTTACCCTTGAATCCGGCACGTGTCATTTCACTTTCGTCTTTCCTCTGCTTCCGTGATCGGTTTCTTCTTTTTAATGATGAAAAAAAGTAAAGACAACAATTTATAATAAAAAAGGAGAGGTTTGGTGTACATGCCACGGTGCAGCGCCACGTGCAACAGAATAGACCCCCCCAAAAGAAAACTAAACAATCACAGCCAAGAGGGGAGAAGGGAAAAATGATCTTAAACTCCAATGAAACAGTTAATACGAAGTGATAGGGAGGAGCTGCATGAGAAATATGCTCCGGTCCGCGGTGCTCAAAGGAGCGGCTTTTTCCGCCAGCAGCGGTGAATGATGCGAGGACGCCAAGAACGCACGCTGCGACGCATTAGTCTTTCGTCAATCAGCAGAACCGGCTGCCATCGTCTGTCGTGCTGCCGGTGAATAAATCGCCAAGCGGTGATCGCGGAATTAAAAAGATCGCCAATCGAAGCTACACAAAGGGGGCATCCCCATTCCTCTGCTACAACGCACACATGGTCTTGCCGATGGCCCTAACAAAAAAAAAAAAAAAAAAAAAAGAGGAAGCTAAAAAAAAGCCACAGGAAAAGAACAGTAAGCTGCGAAAAGAAAAAACAAACAAACAAACAAACAAAAAACAACAAAAAAAAAACAAGAGACACCGGATTTTTATTTGGATGGGGAATGGTGTTTATTCTGTTCAAGAGAAAGAATGAAAGGAAGGTTCATTATACTCGACCGCTTCTTTTTGAAAGTGGCAATAGAGAGTTCATATAATTTAAAACTTTCTTTTTTTTGTTTGTTTGTTTGTTTGTTGTTATGAGCGGCTAACAGGCACATACACAAACATCACATAATATATAATATAATATAATATATAATAATGCATATATGCGGAATGATGGAAAAAAGAATGAGGCCACCAAAAGAAAAAAAAAAAAAAAAAGAAAAAAAAAGAAAAAAGAAGTCATGTCCCTTATTGAACACAAATAAACGTATGGATATGTGTGTGTGTGTTTACGAAAAAGTTTTCCCTGTTTTCTCTGCTATCCGGCCCCACTTGTTTATTGTTTTTTCTTCTAACAATTTCTAGCGCATATTAAAAGAGTTAAAAATGCATACAAGCATGTTTCTTTCTTCTCTCGCTGTGTACCGTGTGTCGGTCTGCATGTAATGTAATGTTCGCTTGTGTCGTGACTAATATTGCAATGGCCGAGGCGACAACGATACAAGGTAAACAAAATAGGTAGCAGCGAGGAATATATCCACAACCAAAAGAAAAATTTTCTTTTAACACCCATTCACTTTATTTTGTGTTTCACTGCAGTTTCCTCTTCCTCCTCACCGCACCCCTTCACACACAAACACACACACACACACGCCCAAGAGAACACACCGCCGCTCCACAGTAATAAGAATATCCCTTTCCTCGTCCTCAAATTTATTCTTCCTGTTGCTTTACCCACCATTCATAAAGTCACACAAGAAAACACACTCCCATAAAGTTCTCTCGCCCTCCTAATTCCTTTTTTTTGTTTGTTTGTTTCTCGTTTACTCCCCTGTTTGTTCCTTTTCTTTCACCTTCACTATCTACTCTTTCATTGGCCCCCTCCGCTCTAAATTACACTCGTGACCCCCAATTTCTTTGCTTTGTCTTTGGGTAGGAAAATTTTTTTTTTTTTCTTCTTTTCGTAGGTGTAAATGTACGCATGGCATTCTGTGGAATTTTTCGAGTGGTCTTGTGTCTCTCTCCTTCTCTGTCCGTCTGTCTTTGCATGCGTGTGCGTGCGCTGTAAAAATATATAACTTTTTTTTTTGTCTAATTTCACTTTAAAGCATCGATGAAGCGGCGTACTTCCTCTAGAGACTCAGTGCTCAGCTCTGACAAAAGCACCTTTACTGCCTGCACGACACCTGTTTCAGTTGGGCCAATTTGAGGTGGTTGCAGGTGGATCGCACCCATCCCGCCGTTGCCAGAAGACGCCCTCTTGGTGTGAATGGAATGATTCATCGGGTCGAACTGGGAGTGGTGAGAGAATTCTAAATGCGTGCTCCGCCGCCTTGTCGCATGCGTCCTTGTAGGACTGCGGGAAATAGAAACACGTCTGTCGCCGTTGCCATGTGCAGCATGGTCATCCGCATAGGCAGAGATGCTGTTATGGTGTGACCTTTGCGCTGTGTGTTTTGCTAATGACACGGTTCCCGATGTGGGCCCCGATCCAGGCCGCACTTTGCCCCTCGCAGGGTCGCAGTACATCGACGGGGGCGGTGCAATCGCCCTCAAATTCGGAAACACCCGGCACGCCTCCTCCCGCTCCTGCGGCAGAATGTCGATGTCGTCCAGGCGTCGCAAGCTCCCAACGGCGGCAATAACGAAGCGTCTGTAGTTTGGGTCCTGACAGATGGGATTCTCTGCGAGGGTCAGCACCGTCAGGTAGGGACTATCACTGAGGTGGAGCACTTGATTCAGATCCTCCACGCGGTTTTTGCGGAGGTACAGTTCGCAGAGTCGCCGGCAGTTCTCAAGCACCCCGAGCTCACTGACGTCGTTCAGGCTAAGAGAGAGCACCTCGAGGTTGCACGCACGCCGCAGCACGCCAATATCGCTGAGTTGCGCCGCGCATACGTTCAACTTCCGAACACGCTGTATGCTGTCCACCTTGGTCTTCTGCAGCACCAAGTTCTCCGTAAGAACTCCCGCCATGGTGAGGAGAGTCTCTGATAGTTATACTCTGTGGCTCAGTGCAGCAACAGAAAGATACAGCCAAAACAGCGGAAAGGAAACAAATAAACAACAACAACAACAACAACAGAAAAAAAAAGCAAAAAGGTGTCTGGGTCCAAGCCCAAGTAAAGAAAAAAATAACGCGGTGAAACACACCACAAAAAAAAAAAAAAAAAAAGGCGTGAACGCCTTTATTATGGTTATTAAAAGAAGAAAAAGAGAGCACCAACGGATTTAAAATACGAAACAAAACAAAAAAAAAACAAAAAAAAAAAAGAAAAGCACGTGGCAATAAATAAAGAGAGATGGAGAGACACGCAGAGGAAGAAATGGCCGTCAGGGTGAAAAGCCATCCAGCGATGGTGGTGACGATAAAGGGCAATGATGATATCACCAATGAACATCACTACCATTTCATTCATCTGCAGCACCACCACTGCCACCATCAGCGTGGCCCTCTGTTCTCTTCGTTTTCTTTTTCTTGATTGTTTGCCAATGTCTTGCTCTTCTCTTCGTCCTGTAATTGATTCACAAGTCTTGAGCCGAGTTTTGCGATACCATCGTAGTGCAAATGTACTCTTTTCCATTCCTCTCCGTTGCCCTTCTCATCCGTTTCCACAACTTCAAAGGCCTCTGGATACCGTTTGAGTATGGCGGTCAGTCGCGATCTCGCCCCTCCGTTGTTCTGCAAGTACTTGAACAAATGGCGTGGAAGAAGTGTTGTTAACACGTCGATGGCTTTGTTGTCCCCCCAGTCCTCTTTTTTATTGCTGAGACGTGGCAATAGAAGCAGAAGGATCTCCTCATCGCTAAAAGTATTGTTCCTCCAGCTTTCCCCATCGCTCGGAACATCCTCCATTCCCTGTTCCCGTCGCATCACATTGAGTGAGGTGGTCGTTATGCTCTGGGTTATGAACAGGTGCGGAAACTGATCAAAGAAGTCCACTCCAACGTGCATCGCGCCTTTGCCGCCGTCCGGCAGCATCGTCTCACGCACCATCGCATTGTTCACCCACACCCCTGGCGACATCTGGTCATAAATGTGAAACGCTACAACATCAGGGTTCAAAAAGGCGTTTCCGAGCGGAAAAGAACGTCGAAACTCCTCCCGCACGATTGACCGACGCAACTTTTGCCGACGCAAAGGAGGGAGATTTCTGAGTTTTAAACGTTCTTCCTGCAGCTCCGCGTCCGTTAAGCCGCTGAGCTTCTCGCTCTTCGCAGTGAGGTGCCGCTGCACCTCCTCCTCAGATAAGACAAACTTCATTCCAAGAACTTCCCTTATCTCATCGCACGAGGCTCCATTCACGTAAAACCGATCCGCATCAGCCGCTTCAAGGCACATGCTAGGGCCCAGCCACAGGGAAATGCGCTGTGGATATGACAAGGCCACCTGAAGTAATGGCGTTTGAAGAATATCACCGGTAAACGATTTCAACTCGCCGATGGGTACAAAACCGTCCGTTCGCAAATATCGCGAAAGACGCCACAGATCATATTGAGGGGAAGTGTCTTCAGCTTCCCAATGTGGTGCCTCTTCATTGAAGCCTTGGTTCACTATAGACACGGCCTGAGGTCCACATGCAACAATTAAAGCTTCCTTGCCATGATAACCGACCTGCACATACAGAGACAACTCAGCTTTACTAGTGTGACGCTTTAAAATAAGTTCCACGCGCTTCATCAAAGATGCAAGGGATTCCTCCGTTGCCTCCATGGTCGGTAATTTCCAAGCACGTTGGCACGAAGTCAGCGGAACAGGTTTCCCAGGGAGAATACTACACGCCTGGGATAATTCATTCGGTGCAATTGATTCATTGCGTCTACCCACTCCAACGCATGGGTTCTCGGGAGTTTTTTGTACATCAAGCAGCCTTACACACAATACACCATTCACCATCTTCACGGCAAATTTTTTTTCGCCCGATTCTTCTGGACGGCGACAAAAACCGGCCAGTCCACCCAACTCCGCCAGGGCCTCACGTGCCTCGTCTGAGAGAATTGATGACACCCGTGATATGGCAACCCACGGCGGTGAGGCGCCGGTGCCCAAACAAGAAACGGCCTCCTGAACTTCCCGCCGTAAGTGTGCCTCCGTTATGCAGGCTCTACTCTGCCACAGGCAGCGCCATCCTAGGAGTGAGGCCGCCGTTCCCCAGCGACGCATACTGGACGCCATGATGCGCAGCAGAAAATGAAGAAAACTCAAAGAAAAGACAACAACAGCAACAACAACGAAAAAAAAAAAAACCGCACTTCAAAAAACGCACACACAAAACAGGACAGACCTTCAAATGCAAATGAGCATTCCGTCTGGATAATGAAACACGCAATTCTAACGCAATTGTACTGAGCTCAACCAGACCCTCAATTTACAGGAGCTTTCTCACTCTTCCCCAACACGAATAATTATGGTGGTGGTAGTGGTGAAAAATAGAAAAGGTTTGCCAAGGCCCATTCTTTCAACCACGCAATCGTCTCTCACGATCCCACACATGCTTTGCAAAAGAGATAGCAAAGATGGATTGATGGGGTTTGCTAGGCTCTGGCTGGTGGTACGTGAGCACTTCTGCGGCAAACCCAATGGCCTTCAGTGCACCCTCAACGATGCCACCCATAAAACTTGCGTAGTTGATGCTCCAACGGCCTTCTCCATCCAAATACTCGGGCGATGGGTAGACGTACCTCAATACAATGGGCTCGGTGTCAAAAATAAAAAAGCGATCGGAACCCGTCTCGCGTTGAAGGTCATTAGCGGGCTTACCAAACCAGCGTGACCACAATTTGTCCTGGAAAAGCTTCAACGCACCCTCAATAGTGATGGGACGTCGCTGAAGCTCTAATGGATCCTTCAGAGATGACAGCATGATGAGCCTTGCTCCGACCAACACACCAAGACTTGTCAGTCGCTGCTCGATCTCTTCAACGTTGGAGGCCTTGGACGGCGTATTATGTGCCCGTGTGCACATTTCAGAGAAGAGAAAACTAAACGCTGAAAGGGAAACCTTCGCCTCTTCATTGACGGTCCGACTTGACGCCTTGTCCGACTTGGAGCTCCGCACGCTATCGCGATACGGCATGAGCATGCTTTGAAAATAAGACATAAGAAACGGAGAGAAAGACACTGTACATGCACGCCGCTTCAGTGTCACACACATGTGCCTCATCGGAAAAAGCAAAACACACACGGACGGAATAACAAAGAAAACAAGACACGAAAATGTCTCTCTTCTTTTTCTTCGCTTCGTTTTATTCCTCCCCCCCTTTTCACGTTGTCGCGTTTTTCTTCTTTCTACTTCTTCGCTGAAGCTTTAATCGGCAGTGTGAGGGGCTCAACACCTCCACACACATACATGCACGGCAAGTAGAAAAGCCTGCAGAATAGCACAAATATAAGAAACTCCTACTTTCTGAGGACTGGGAATTCGCCACACACGCACACACACACGTCTATTTATGTATATTTGTCTCCCTCCCCCCTTGTCATCCCCGTGCATTTACACAAATAAAGCGTCCACAGTTACTTTATAGATTTTACTTTCTTCTCTCCCTCTTTTCAAGGTCACCATCGCTCATTGAATGGTAAAAGGATGGGAAAAGAAATCATTAATGGCCTCATTGCGCACGAGAGCCACAAGAAATGATGGAATAATACAACGCAGAGTACGAATAAAAACGCAGAACACAAAACTAAAACTAAAAACAAAAGGAAAAAAAAAAAAAAAAAAAAAAAAAAGAGGAAATTCACAATAAAGCAAAAGCATTTCATTCTCCAAGACAAGAGTCTTCAAGTGATGTAAACAATTGCCACACACACACACACACACCAGACAATGCCCGGACCCGCTGCAGTTTTTTAATCCCTTGGATTAGTTTCGACCCAAGAGTTTGGAGCACTATCAAACGTCACAAATATTACTGGTAAATCCACTTTTACGGAGTTTGCACTTGAGATGGCTAAGAGTAACTTTTCATACAAGACAACCGTCATGACAGTTGTTGGAACAACACGACAGATATTCACAGGAAGGCCTCTGTAGAGGCCAAGAACTCCCTCGGAACGCCAAATGGCGCAGAGTGCTCCTCGCATCGAACGGTATTCCTTCAAAGAACCGTGCCGTTTATCCTGCAAACGGGTTCGCACAACCTCAATGGGATTGCATAGGATTGAGGCTGCAGCCTTTGATATGGCCGACGCAATCATCACCTCCATAAACGACGGATTATCCTTGTCATGGAAAGCCTCACGTTTTATTCCCTCATAAAGCGTTACTTGTATTGTTGTGCTTCCTGTCAAAAGAATTTGCGGCCCAACGCCGCGAAGTAACGAAAAAAAGCCCTCGCGTTTCAAAATAGCCCTGGTTCCACAAACAAAACCTCGGGGTTCACCGTAATTTTTCACATCGTACAATTGTCGACGTGTTTTCAGCACATTCAGCGGCGTGATGACAACACCTGTAGTAACAGCAGCAACACACGCACTCAAAAAATCCTGTAAAGTGTGACGTCCACTGTTTCTGTGATCGTCCCTGCTACAAGCCGTTTCCTCCGCAGCCAAAAAAAGTTTCTGTTGTGCTGCCCTAAACGTCAACAAATATAATCCCCACCCAACACTGTGAGCAAAAATGGACATGGTGATGCCATTGTACATGGCTCTCAATCCCTCCTCTCGAATAATTTGCCGCGCTGACCGCAATGGAAATTTGTTGCCCCCTTTATATACGTGCATGCGTGTCCGTAGAAAATCCAAAGGGTAAAACAGTGCCATGGATATAGAAGCACCAATAACGCCTGCCACACCATGTGCCCAGGGCCTTACTGGGGTATGAAGGGACGTATACGTTGCATTTATCCCATTCTCACGTGTTTGAATTGTCGCTGCCATTATCTTTTAATCGCAGTGACCTAATGCCTCCGTATCTAAATTTTATCCACACCCACCACTCTCTCCGTTGTAACAATTCCTTACCAAATATATATATATATATATTTAACAAATAAATATATAATTATGTATATACATGGATAAGTGAATCAGCAACAACCCTCAACCGTGTAGTTGTAACGGTGGGAGAGTTAACAGCTGAAAAAAAAAAAAAAAAACAACGCGGAAGAGAAGCGGCGAAAAACTGCCGGTTTTTTTTTTTTTTTGTAAACTTGTTATCTGGTAATATGTGTGAAAAAAAAAAAAAAAAAAAAAAAAAGGAGAATATTCCCTTTCACCCCCTTGCAAAAAACAACAACAACAAAAAAGATTTATTCGCGGAGTGTAGAAAGAGAACACAGCACGGCAACAGGATGAAAAGGAAAAGGAATCAAACTCAACACCAAAAAAGGGCAATCCACACCTTGCCACCTAACCCCCGTCCTCCCTCCAAACCCCCAAAAAAGAGGTAGGAAGAGGGAAGAGGGAGAGAAAAAATTCATTTTAGTTGAATTTACCTGATGGCCATTTGTGTATATATATATTGCAGCAGAGACTGGAAGAAAGTCCAACATGGCAACTCGTCATCCAATGAGCACCACGTACGAAAGGAAAAAAGGTGGATGTGCTCAGGGCGTTGCCCCACCCGTCCCCCAAGTGTGGGACGGTGAATGTTGTGTGAGCCCTCAAACGATGCGTCATAGTAAAAATAAAATAAAAATAAATAAAAAAGGGAATGAGTCATGTATAAATTTGCCGAGTAACTGCAGAGCTACACCATTCCTCCTTGAATCAACCACCACCACTCAAACCAACAACAACAATAACAACGAGTGGTACATGTTCAGCGTCGCAAGCATCACCCAGACAGGCACGAGAAAAAAATATATATATATATATACCCCTGACGTAAGGACATGCAAAAAAAAGTTTTCTCTTTCCCCCATAAAACACATAAAAAACCAAAAGAAAAAAAAAAAAAAAAGAGAAAGAAAGAAAAAAGGCTAATTTGACCTCTCAAATATATATATCGTTTTACCTGTACCATCCTCTTTCATTCCCAAATTACATCCTAAAGGCCGTTTTCTTTTTTCTTCTTGTGTGTACGCTTATATTACGTCCGTATTCGTCTCCGTCTCGCTGCTTATAAAATTTATTTTGCTTATTGACAATATACTTTTGTTGAGTTGGCCACGTTACCCAGGAAAACAAACAAACAAAAAAAAAAAAAAAAAAAAAAACGGAGCATTCTCACTGTAGCTCCGGCCATTGGTGGGATTCACGGCCCTCCTTGTCTAGCCGCTCGTATCCGTGGCGGCCAAATACATCCCTTTGCAAAGAAACAAGTTGACCGTACCTTAGCGTCGGGGTAAACATCCCATTAACGTACACCAGAGAGGCTGAGAGCACAGGGAGCGTCAAGGCTGTCTTGGAAGTGATAAAACCCAAGATATCGCGGTAGCTCTGCAGTCCTTCTGTTATTTCCTTTTCAAAGGCACACATCAGGTTACTTAGATTTACATTCTTTGCGAAGGCCTCCGTCATAGGCTGAAGGAGATAACCCTTCAAAATGCAACCGGCGCGGAAAGTGGCAATGGTGGCTGGAAGATCCAAACCAAAATCATACACTTTATCCAGAGCTCGGAGGCATTGAAACATTTGCGCATAGCACGCTATAATCGCGATGGAAACAGCATGGTAGAGTTGTCGAATCTCTGGTGCGTTGGGACTCTTGTCCTTTATTGCGTATCCAGGGACTTTTAGAACAAAAGGAAGTGTCTTTGCATTTAGCTCACGTTCCGACTTGTACATTGTCATCTGCCGTGACAACACAGCCATGTTTAGACTTGGTGCGGGTACACCAACCTCTAGCGCTTCCTGCGCAGACCATAGACCCGTGCCTTTAGAACCAATACAGTCCTTGACGTGTTCAGAAAGATGGCTGCCATCCGCAACCTTGGCACGCGCGGCGACGATGGAAATATCGAGCATATATGAAGTCAAAAACCCCTTAGCTTTCCAGTCCTCAAATACAGCAGCCACCTCATCGTTGCTTAACCCCATTGCCCGAAGAATGTCAAAGGCCTCGCCCCATA